AAATAAATCATTGTTAACCCAAAAATAGTTAATGAACACCAAATTATTAACGACATTTCAATATGAAATGACATGCAAAAAAATTATATCTCGGTATCCGATAAAAGTAAATTACCCTCAGCAAAAAAAATATTTTGCCAAACATAGTAAATGAGCTCCTAACCTTTTTTCTCCAAATTGATTAACCACTACCAAAAAATATATTCCTAAGCGTTTCGTTTATTCAACCATAAAAAAGTTTATAAATTCTAATTATTTATACAATCATAAAAAAGTTAGTCCTTTAAAACTAATAATAAACAGTATAAAGATCTTAAAACTAAAATAATTATAAACATTTAAAAATCTTAAGAAGAATCAGTCTTCTGTAATAATTTACTGCACAATCAATGCTTTCTTAGCTTTGGCTGGTCCTCTTTTGCGCTTCATGCTAATCGGAAGCTCTGGCCTCTGAAGGTGGCTGGACGTGCTTAAGCCGAATCGCCAATCCAACGAGATGCTTGCAAATGTAATTTTTGAGAAACTTTGGGCAATTGCATATTCCGTGTCACCAATTTTCCTTTTCTCGGGGCATTATAACTTCCAAATCTCTAAAATGTTGCTCTTTATATTCGTCAAAGGTCTCCCACGGCTTTTCACAATTTTTGCAATCTTAATCTGACTCCGCTGGAATCCCGTATGTGCAAACTAGCTTAGTGCTATTTTTTAATGGCACCTGCTTCGACAGTTTTGCCCATTGGTAACGTTCTGTCCACGTCTTTAAAGATACTGTCGGCAGTTGAGCGAACCGTCTCTCAGTATTAGTCATGTATTCATTAGACCAGTCCTTGACGATATCAGAAGCAGCTCACGAAGCGTGGTGGCCTTTTAATATTTTATTGAAAGATTTTAGAGCATTGTTTGTAGCAGTAGTCCCTGGAAATGCTCCCAAATACCAGAAACGATTTAACTTGAGCCATTCGTTTTCAAAGTATGTAGCAAAATCATTTTCGGATTTTCACTCGTCCAAAAAATTTTCGCTGGCTCGATCAAATATTTCCTGAGTTAAGGCACAACGTAAAGCATCAATATCTTATAAGATCTCTTTTTGGGATTTCTTTTGCACACTTTGCTTTTTGCACTTGTCCAGCACATTCTTATGACTGTATCCGTTTCAAACGTGTACGCAAAGGCAGTTTGTATCATAGATAAGAGTGTAGCCTTCGCTTCGCTTCCTTACTTCTCTGCATCACAGACCAAACCTTTACAAATTAAAGTATGTGAAAAGATTGAGAAAACTGTTTTTTTTAATGCGGGAAATAAAAATATGTAGTGTTCCGTTCGTTCTGCTGTTGTCACAGCTAGTCCAAATGGGTAAAAATGTTTATCTATGTCCGTAGTTCCAATCACAAGTACTGGAAACCATTGCCAAATAAGCTTATACGTGGCATCCTCGTGAAGGTCAGTACATTGACGTGATAGACCAATTAAATGTTTCGTCATTAACATGAACCGGAAGTTCTGATCTAAATCATCTTCAGAAATTTCATAGGCCAAAACAAACACTTTGTGATCGTCATCAGGTATTTCAGAGTTTTCTTTTAACCATAATTCAAGCTTATTACCGATGGCCCGTATTTTTTCTTACGTATGATTTTAAGATAATTGTTTAACTGTAACTTAGTCGGCAGAACTAATCCATTAATTTTACTTAAGTTCTTCATAATAGATTTAGGTTTCAAACGCAGTTCGAATAGTTTTTCTTTTAATAATAATATTACTTAATAGCAGTACTGTTGTAATTTTAGGCTTTATTTTTCTGGTATCAAGTATATATTTTTGGTAAAAGAACTACTGGTATTAAAGCATTTTATGGTGGTCATTATATTTAACCCCTTAAAATTTAGGCTTTAAATTAAAAAGTTGTAATAATTATTTGCTATAAAATTAAACTTTTACCTAGGTATCTCATATTTTATGCTGCCGTTCAAAATTATATTTTAACTCACATGATAATATAAGTATTGTGTTATTAAACCATTAAATACGCCTAGTTTAATTAAACTTTAATAAAAGTCCTGTACCCATTAAAGTATGAAGAAATGTTTATAGAATAAAAATTTCATTTTTAAAGATTTTACCTTTTCCTCGCCAATTAGCACTTTAACACACTCCTCCTCCACTCCATCTCTCCTCTCATTTTCACTAAAAATATATTATCATAAATTTTCAACAGACACAACAAAAACAACATAGACATTGAAATGTGAAGTGAACTTGCAAACACATCGCCCGCACCCCAATTCGCTACCGCACTCCTAAACAACTTCAGGGCAAAGCCCAGCTTTTGGTTCCATAATAATTGCTATATAAATATTTCGTAGTTATATTTCATTAGAAAACATTTTGCCACAGGTTAGTAAGGGAGCGATCGTCTTCTTGAAAGCCAGGTAAAAAGCCAACGCGTGTGAGAGAGACGACAAAATCAATTCCTTGCTTTCATTAATTTTGACAGTCCAGTGTATTTCGAATTGAAAGCAAACTGCCAAGTGTTGACGTTACATATATGCTACGACGTCATGCCCTACCTAGAAAAGAGGAATGCGTGGGAACTTTGAAATAGTTTGAAACAGTTTACGAGTTATTTTATTAGTTGATATTATTGATTGAGCAGTTAAATAGAGCAAGCCCGGCTTCTGGGCTTCTATGGAGGCTTCGCCACTGGGTCGCCCTCGACATTATCGAGTGCTCTGCCTCAGGCCCGGCTTTCAGTTTTCCAATTTCACCCATAATCCAGTCCTGGCTTGCCTTATTCCGGCACGTTACCAGAATCCAACCTAGCTTGTGAGTGAAATCCGAAAATTTTGGTCCCATTCTCGGCTGCGCGTTACAGGCCGTCTTAGCGATGGCCTGTTAGTGCCCGGTGGACCAGCCGCATCTGCTCCACACTCATAGGATTCGAATTGCGAATTCCCACACTAGCGGAGCCAGCTGCGGCACTGAAGCTGAGCTTCTTCTCCCCCTTTGCCAGCTTCGCAGACTTCCCGGGCTGGTCTTGGGGGGCTCTTCCTCAGACCGACTGCGGTTTTTCGCCTACGGAACTGGGGGAGGTTTGGACATAGGAATTTCGTCCCAGGGCTTCTGGCAGAGAGAGGGCCTCTTCGACTCCTATCTCAGCTGCTTTCAGCCTTCGGTACCTCTTCCTTGCTGGCCCACTAAGCTTATAAGGCCTAGTGAACTTTTTCTTTTACCCTCCCTGGTTCATTTCCGATTGTGGTTCGGCTGCAGACGTGTCCTCCACTTCACGGCTCGTCCCAGGTTTGGGCGTAGTGTTGCATGATATTGGTGAGGCTAAAAGAGCCTCTTCCAAGCCTACAGATAGTTCCATTAGAGGAGATTTTTCATACATCTGTTCAAAATATCAATTTTCGTCCATTTTGGTCCCACGATTAGCTAGGGAAATATTCGGTAACCCCCGACAGAGCCCCACATGCCGAGGGAAAGCCTAAAATACTACCCGAATCGCCTTTGTCTCGGTTAGGCACCGTTTGCGACTGGACTTCCTCCAGCCACGCATCCATCGGCACGGTACGCTTGACACCATGGATTGGACTAGGATGAGAAAAAGGGGGTAGGGATAAGAAGGATTGTCTGAGTCTTTCTGTTCTGTCTGTTACCTATTGAACCAGACCAAATAACAGGCGGCAACCACGTGAAGGAAGAACTCCTCAGACTTTCCCTGGGGATCAACACGACCTGCGCTCTCCCCCAGGACAGCAGGGCAGAATAGGTGTTAATCTAGTGCTACCAATATTATCAAAAGGTTAGGAACCGCCGTGAGACTACCGCCCTGAGTGGTAAATAGAGGCGACGCCATTTTCAGTCCCATTCTTTAACCACACGAGTAGTATAGCATTCTCTGCGTAGACAGAGAAACCTATCTGACAGTTTAATGAAGCAACAAAATGTTCGATTCTTATTATAGTAAGATACTCTAAAAAAGTATCGAGTTCAAAAATACTAGGTACCGAATTAAAAGTATCGATACTACTCAGGAATCGATACGTTTTGCGGATCCCTACTTCTTTAGGTTTGTTTGACAGTTTATAAAGTAAGCAGAGATGTTCTGATACCACCAAAATTTCGATACCTACTCATATGAGTAGTATTCGAATCGTTTTGCGATACTACTATTTTGAGTACTCCAAAAGTATCGATACTTACTCATATCGATACTTTTTTACAAGTCCAAGAAAAAAAATCATGTGTGCGGTTCGCTGCAGATGTGAAACCTTCCAAAAACTAAACTTTAAAATTGTTCTGTAATACCACCGTCTACTTCATTTTATAGATAAGGACATTTTAAATTTTAAAAATGATTAACTTTGAAGATGGTACGTAAAATAGACGCTAGATGGGCTAAGTACAACTAATTTAATATAATATTCTATCTCATTCTCTTGCGGGCTAAATCATATTGATATATACTATGTTCGTCTCTTTTTAGTATCGCTTTTTGGTTTCATCGACTTTTAAATCACAACGATTCTAAAGAAGTTTTCATTTCAAATATTGTGTGATAGTTCATATAGTCTAATGAAATGATCATCATTAGTACTATTTTTTATATGAAGAATACAATTATAAATGAACAAAATTTTTAATATTTGGATCGCCAATATAGCCCATTGGCGGTGCAAGGATGCGTTCACACGTGATTCGATTCGATATAAATACTTGTTTTTCAGAGTTCATTCGATACTAAAATTACTTGGTATCGAAAGAAAAGTATCGACTACTTGGATTTACTTGAATTGTATCGAATCATTCATTCCTATTTCCTCATTCTTATTTCTTATTATATTCGTAGTCCTAGTCTCCTAGTCTCCTATTATAATTATAGTGCCTAGTAATAAGCAGAAGATAAGAGAGCAAAAATCATAATCGTAAAATTGGTTGAATTGAATTAAAAGTCAGACGAAAGTTTCGTAAGAATTGGGTTATCTTACGTAGAATAAAATATGTTTGCTAGAAATATATCAACTTGTTTTCTCCAAAACTCATTAAAAGGTCAATCTCTTAAGATTGTGCGTAATATTTCAGTAACCAATGTGAATCATGATATAGTTAAAATACAAAGCACAGATGATTTTAATGATAAAGTCATAAACAGCAAAGTACCCGTTATTGTTGATTTCTTTGCTACGTAAGTACGCTTAAATTTGGAGTAATAATATTAGTGTTCTGTGATTACATACATTAATTATGTATTTTACATATGTAACAAGATATTAATTTTTATATCATTTGTATTTTTATGTAAATATTAATATTCTTTTTTTTTTGGGTTATGCTCTACAAATTAACCTTGTTTTGAAAGGGAAAAATATTAAGTATCATCTTTATCTCATATTACTTCTTTTTTGTAAAAAAATCCTACCATGCTGCTTTTAAGCATTTTCATTCATGATATTTATTTATTTATTTATTTTATTGGATGTACACAACAGTTTACATTCAATTTTACGTAACATAAATACCTATTATATACAAAGTTTTGACCTGGAATACAAACCAAAAACGCGTACATACAGTTGCAACATGCATTACCCGTAAACATATTTATGTATATAATTTACCCAAAAAAAAAACAATTTATAAATTTAACAAATTTTACGACAATTTGCTGAAAGTTTTATTATGACGATAAATAATTAATGTCGAGTTGACTTGAAGTAGTGGAATGGTTGAGTACGAAGCTTATTTACATTATTGTCAAAGACATCAATGTCCTTACCTGACTCCATTAGAACTATATCATTTAAGAGCGACACATTCGTGTTATAGGATTGTAAAATGAAGTATTGTTCTTATAGATGTTTAATATAAACATATTAAGACGACGCCTGGGATTTGACTTAATATTAAAATTGATTTGGGATAAAAGATTTGGGGAAACAATTTTGCAGTGTATTAGTTTATGTAAGCAAAGAATATCTTGTATAGTATGTCTATTACGCAGTGATGAAACTCCAACTGTAAGTAGTCTCTCCTGATAAGACGGTAGCTTGCGAGTTATTATTAAATATTTAATAAATAAAAATATAAATTATTAAATAATAAGAAATTATTCTGGATAATATAGGGATAAATGGTATTATAAGAACTATAAATTCTTATAATATCATTTATAAGAGTTTTAGTCTCGACAACAGCGCCACCTACCAGATAAAATTGCAAATGCACACCATCCAGACCCACCCAAACACACAAAAAATTTCATCAAAATCAATCATCAACTGTATTATGCATTTATTATACATGTAAACCTTCATCTTGAATCATTCTGTCTATTAATGAAAATCACATGAAAATCCAGTGCATATGAACAGTACAGTTATACAGAAGGGGGAAGCAACTTTGTTTTATACTATGTAGAGATGTTTGAAATGTCGTGGTTACTAAACTACATCTCAATACAGTTTTAACTTATCCTAAGGTGAACATGGCATCAAATTTTTAATTTTTTATGGAGGATAGATGTAGATGTTTTTGGGTTACAGCATCCAATTAACATCAGGCGGAAGGTGTGGTCGTTTGTGACTCTTATTCTACAAAAAAAAACAATACTAAAAGGTTTTATTTTTCTGTGCACATAGGAACTGTCAAATATAATACCACCATGTCTTTCTAAATATCAATCAGCTAAAGTCTGTTGAGAAAGGGAATTAACATGAGATAAGGGTGTTTGGGTATTAGAGTAGATTTTTGTTATAAATGATTGACTTATAATTTTGTGTGTAATTTTGATAATGTAGGTGAATACTCATAGGTTTGTTTGTTTTGTTTATACACCATAGATTTAAATAAGGATATTTTTAATATAAACTTAATATTAGTTCACTTTTTGCCAAGACCTCTCTCCTGATAGACTAATAGCATAATTTCATTCCTCCCTCTCCCTTCCAATATCGAACCATTAGATGCTTCCACAGCATCATTGCCACCTTACCATGACTTCCTACCAAAACGCTTGCTTTGTCATTCATTATGCGTACAGTAGTGTAGTAATCATGTACCCGCATCTATTTTTCCATCTGATTACAATGTGGGTGTCTTTGAGACTAAATACTCTTTCATTTGTACTCTGTATCATCTTTGGCTAAATCACCACTTAGACTTACCATCAGGTGGGATAGTAGTCAAGCATAGGCTTAGAATAACCATTTCCATATCATGGTTATTTTTATTTGGTGTAATCTTAAATATAAAATAAAAACACATCAAAATATTAAAAGTTTTAACTAAATTATATGTAATTATTGTAGAATGCTTATTTACATATTTATCTCTGAGTATCGATGTTTGGCTAGTTTTAATAGTGATACTCAATAATTCGATGTTTGTAAAAATATTACATAGCATTTAACTTATTATAATGATACCGCCTGGCTGATTAATCACTCTCTATTCGAAAATAAAGCTATTTGCTACATAGGAGTGAATTTGCCTAGGTTCTTTCAGCTATGTAGTCAATTATATTAATTAAGCTGTGATAAACAACACTTATAAAGTTAATAGCAGGAATTAAATATCATAATTTTTTGAACTTTTAGGTGGTGTAATCCTTGTCGGCTCTTAACACCTCGATTAGAATCTATAATCTCTGAAAATAAAGGCAAGATAGTACTGGCAAAAGTAGATATTGATGAGCAGACTGATTTGGCTCTGGATTACGAAGTGAGCTCTGTGCCTGTACTATTGGCTGTGAAGAATGGTAAAGTTCAACAACGTTTAGTTGGATTGCAGGATACTGACAAATTGCGAAAATGGATTGAACAATTTACTAATGACGTAGCTAAGGCTGAAGTTAAAGTGTGAATTATTTATCATTTTTATGTTATATTGTTATCGATATATTTATGTAGTTGAAGTAATAAAGCAAAAATAAAACAGACTATTATTCTTCTAAACACTGTATTAAGCTCCTTGCTCTATTATAAACAGTATCATGAGGTTTTGTAACTGATGAATCTTGCTGATCCTCTGGTACATTATTTTCTTCATTATTTTGCAAATCTGTCCAATCATCCATTTGTTTTATTATTTTATTAGCATCAGCCAATAACAAATTTCTTATGTTACCTTTGGCAGATTCGAAATACTCTAACAATAATGGCCATGAAGCGTCTGGAATAAGGTTAGATGAAAACTTATTTTTAAACAGCCAAACTTGCTTTGCTTTCATGAACTTCCAATTAGGCCTATCATATTTCCATTGTGACAAATAATTGAGACATTGAGATTTAAGTTGGTCTTTTGCTACTGCTTCAGCTGCAGCTTGACGTTCAGCGTGTTTTTCCCTTTTCATTTGGCGAATTGATTTTTTTTTCTTTTTCTCTGATGAGTCTGATGATATAAGATTTTTTTTCTTCTTTGGTTTTTTAGGCTTAGATTCCGTATCTGAACTCATATCGTACTGATTTTCCGTATTATTTTCATAGCTTGCATGTTTCCTTTTGTGTGATTTTACGATGTCTTTATCAGCACTATCAATGTCATCAACATTTATATCACTATTTACATCAAATGATGTCGCCTCTAATTCTTCAGTTTTTCTTTTGGTCTTATGTTTTTTCTTCCCGCCCATTTCGGTTTAGTATACTTATGATTGGTTATTGGCTAAGAAATTAACAAGAATAATACTACCCTCTAATGATAGAAAAGAGATTTCCAGTTTGAGACATACAAGACATACCCTTGTGTTGTCCCTTGAATTTGAGGTTATTTGTTTCAGGCAATGTTGCCACATGGAATTAGTGAAGGTCTCTAGACTGCCATCAAAAAGTTCCTAGTTATAAGTGAATTTACTAACAGAAAAAGTCTCCAAATGTCGCTAAATATAATCTTATATATATAAATGAAAAGAACTAAAATTCTAACTTGACATGAAATTTTCGCATACATTTGTACATTTCAGTAGGGCATGAAAAAATGTTTTTGCATCGTCGGTCATCACCGGTTTTAACCATTTAAATTTGTCTTCCCATTCCTTTCTGAATTTTTGACTGCAGGTTTTTTCTTCGCGCATTCATTTTATAATCTTGATTAATAATAAATTTAATTAAATAACAAACAATCACTTTTAAATGGAAACAAATAAAATTAGATACACGGGAGATTTAAAAAAAACACTGAACGTACTTACGTAAGTATTGCGCGCAACAAGACTAATGTGACAAGAATGAATATTATATATATATAAATATAACTATCGAGGAAGTCCCGATCAAAGCAAATAAAACAGATAAAATGTAAACAAATAAAGAGTGAAAACAACGTGGTAGGTGTAATATGACCAAATTAAGAAATAGCTTATTCTCATTTTCAATAAAACTTTTAATAATAATTCTCTATTGTATCTTATCATAAAATTAGTAGTATTATTATTAACTTATCATAAAATAAGTTAATAATAATACTTTAAATAATACTATTTAAAATAAGTACTGTGTAAAATGATTATTTGACTTTTAGTTGCTTTAGGATTTATAAGGCGTTTTATTTTTATTTTAAAATTATTTCTTACGTATGTTACGTTGTTTTCAAATTTGAAAGCAAGAGATTTTGATGAAATGCATGTTATGTGATTTATTTGTAACAGGATTACCTATTACAAATAATAACATAACATTTTTCCATTAGGAATATTATTGTGATGTTTTATATGTGTTTGTAAAAGCGACATCTAAAGAAACTTTGTTTCGGTTCCTTTACATTTTATAATATCGTTAGTGGATAGAGTATATTCCTTACGCCTAAAGTTGTCAGATGGTACCAAAATTTGAAGTATGTACAGATTGTGCAAATGTCGCTAAAAGTCGCCAGAATATTTTTTGTCGCTAAACTAACAAAAAAGTCGTTAGATCTAGCGACAAAGTCGCTAAAGTGGCAACATTAGTTTCAAGTATACAAAAAGTACTCTATGGTTATTTGTTGTCGTTGACTCGTAAAGATTTCGATTTAGTATCATGGAGTATAGATGTAAAGGACAATCTTCCATAGGAGAATAGTTGAAAATGTGTCCATCTGAATGCACTAAGTAACACTTCAAAAAACTCCACAACAGCGCTCCAGTAGCTACAGGGTATGATATTTCGCCGTAAAATACGTTGAGAGTGATTTTGAAAATAAAAATTTTGAAAGGAATAAAAATTATGGCGAAAGTGTGCAATAAAAAATTAAAAAAAGTTCTTTAAAATTTAGACTGTAGCTACAGTGGCGCTACCCTTATTTAACGCTTTCCTACGGACACTTTTATACAGTCTGTACTCCTTACCTCTACACTCCATATTTAGTATAAACTCCAACTATAACTTTTAAATCTATGGTAACGATTCTCTAAATAAGGAAGACAAAGGTCTGAGACTTCTTCACATTAAGCTAAAGCATTTAACCAAAGAACAAGTAATGCACCTAATACTACGAACAAAATATTCTGTCACATTTGGTTTGAGGCGAGGAATCACTACATAGTACAGCACACCAGCGTGACTATCTTTAAAATGGAGATCCTGCCTTACTTTGGTTAAAAAACTGCCAAAGTCTGTAGTGAAAAATGTCTAAATACTGCCAAATTTATTTACCATTGTATTGAACTAAAAAAAGTAAAAATACACATTTAAAATGCTATTTTATTAAGTTAAAATTTAGTATTGCAGTCAGCATTATATTATTCATTTTTTTTTTCATCTTTATACATGGATTTATTCATTCGATTTAACATATCTTTCATTGGTTTTAATGCAATACAATCTCCATGCTTACCAATGCCTTTTTTAACGTGCAAGATAGACGCTACATGATGTTTATAAATCTGTTTCGTGTTTTTGTCTTAATTAAATTTATTTGAGAGAATATTCTTTCGCATGCAGCGTTAGACACTGGTAAGCATAGCAGTCCCTTTGCGAATTTACATTTACAATACATACGTATTTTAAGTGTCCCTTCTATGACTGATTGACCATAAACTCGTGTTTATGAAAACTTTTTTTAAGACTACCCACGTTACTTACAAACTCTTATAGTTGTTTATTGAATGTGATTTATTTATTTTATGTTATGGAAAACCAACAGATTACAAATCTTAAGTAAAATAACATGTAAAATTTACAAGGACCAATAACAGGTTCTCACTAATAGAAATACACTATAACATGATCTTTCGTCGTATAAAGGACAAAGAACAAATACGAGCAACAAAAATGGAGTCCAATTTAAATGTACAACATGCATAAATTTAATAAGTGACACAAACAATAATAGCTACAAAAGCCTTAAAATAAATTAAATTACGACAAAAAAATTCAGTTCAGAACTCAGAACGCTTTTACAACAAAATCCCAGAAAATATACAAAATATATATACAAAATGTATATATTTATATATAAGGGGGATAAGTCGCTCGCGTCCGTAGGCTTTGACCACCTAATCCTAGGTCCACCCTACACGTGTTCCCCGGGTGGCGTTAAATGAGCGACAAGCCGAAGGCACAGACTCGGCTCCTCGCCGTGGTAGCGGCGTAAAATATACTACCCCATATTTCGCACCATGTGGAATCAAACAAAAGAAATGGCCCTGAGTTCCCGGCGCGCCTTTAATGGGGAAGGGGTGCGAAGAATCTTCGGGAGGAAAACCAAGCGACGATGTTCGTCACCCGTCACGTTCTGTCTCCTGGAGGGTTGAAAAGTGGATTGCAGAGGCCCGTCTAGCTACGTTGAATGTATGTGGAGCAATTAATGATAAAATGGATGAAGTATGCGATATGATGTATAATAGAGGAATAGATGTGTTATATGTAAATGAGACGAAACGGAAGGGGAAGGATGTCACTACACATGGCATGTATACCGCATACTGGTCTGGTGTAGACGAGATTGAGCGGGCATGCCACGGAGTAGGTATCATTCTTTCAGAAAGAATGGGCCATTGTGTGAAAGAGTATGAATTTGTAAGCCCAAGACTGCTATGGAAACGAATGAAAGTGGGCTTAAAGAAGTTGTTTGTGCTAGGGGTCTACGCCCCAGACATGTCTAAGTCCACTTATATCCGAGAGCAGTTTTGGGAAATGGTAAGGATTATGCTTGGAGATTTTAATGGAAGGGTTGGGGTGAGGAGGCTTGGTTATGAAAGGATATTGGGAACGTTTGGTGATGAAAGTATAAATAAGAATGGTGAAAGCCTCCTCACCGTATGTATGGAAAAGAATCTTTTTGTGACGAACACTTGCTTTCGCCACAAGAAGATTCATATGTATACTTGGGAAAGGGGTGATGATAGAAGCATGATAGATTTCATAATTGTGGATGAAAGAATGAGGGGCGCAGTGGTAGATATAAGGGCTTACCGGAGGTCTAACGTGGGAACGGATCATTATTTGGTTTTATACCGAATAAATGGTCTATTCAGGCGTTGGCGCCATCGGTTATCTGTGTCTACCACTGCGTTACAGCGTATTAGAACAGAAAGGTAACAAGAGGAAGGTGCGAAAAACAAGTTCAAATGTAGACTGAAAGAAAATATAAGTGGTTTGGATGAATTATGTATGAATGAGTTAGACTTGGAGAATGTATGGCAAAATATTAAGAATGGTTTAGTGGATGCAGGTACCGAAGTATGTGGTTTTGGTAACAGAAAGAATAAAAGGAAAAATAATACGTTATTGTGGGATGATGGGATACGTATGGAAGTTGAAGAAGAGAAGAGAGCATGGCTAGATTTACTAGCAACAAAGGCTGGTAATTCTAGCGGTATGAAAAATATTGAAAGAAAAACGGCAGTCTTTAGATATCTAAATAAGAGAGTAAAAGAAGTAGTTGAAAGGAAAAAGCAAGAAAAAATGGATAAGAATGATAGAAGAATATCGGATAACTTCCAGGCAAATATTAAAATGTTCTGGAAACTCGTAAGAACTGCCAGGGGACATTCAAAACAGCCTATAATGAATGCTATAAGAGACGAGAATGGCTATATTCTGAATGATGAAATTTTGAGTTTAAAGAGATGGAAGGAATATTTTGAAAGCGTGTTTATGAGTGAGGAGACAACGTATAAACTAAATGAAGTAGAAAATCCAAAAGAAGAGGAAAGAGATAGCGAGATAAGGATAGATGAAATAATGAAAGCAATGAAAAGCATGAAAGCAGGTAAGTGTGCCGGATATGATAGAGTTTCACTCGAAATGCTAAGGGCTGGAGAGGAAGTGGCGGCAGGGCTGCTGCACACCTTGTTTAATTTATGCTGGGAACTGAAGCGGGTACCGGTAGACTGGTGCAAAGCCGTGATAGTCCCAGTATATAAAGGAAAAGGATCGCAGCAGGACTGTAAAAAATACCTTGGTATCAGCCTTCTTAGCATTGTGGGAAAACTATATGCTAAGGTACTAATTGAAAGAGTCATAAAAGAAAGTGATGGAAATATTTGGGATATGCATATTGATTGCGGGATTTAGAAAGCGAATGAGATGCACAGATCAAGTCTTTTCCATGCGCATGATCGCGGAGAAGTTTTTGGCCAAAAACTAAAAGGTTTTTTGTGCGTTCATGGACTTGGAAAAGGCTTATGACAGAGTGGATAGGGATGTGCTATGG